GTCGGGGGCCATGCCGAGCGAGATCAAAGGGCTGGAGTTCTCTGAGGGCTTGGCCCAAGGCAAGAAGCAGCGCCTGAGCAAGAAGCTGAGGAGGAAGTTACAGATGTGGCTGTGGTCACAGACCTTCTGCCCGGTGCTGTACGCGTGGAATGACCTGGGCAGCCGCTTTTGGCCGCGCTACGTGAAGGTGGGCAGTTGCTTCAGCAAGCGCTCGTGCTCTGTGCCTGAGGGCATGGTGTGTAAGCCGTCCAAGTCTGTGCACCTCACTGTGCTGCGGTGGCGCTGTCAGCGGCGCGGGGGTCAGCGCTGCGGCTGGATTCCCATCCAGTACCCCATCATTTCCGAGTGTAAGTGTTCCTGCTAGAACTCGGGGGCCCCCTGCCCGCGCCCAGACACTTGATGGATCCCCATCAACGCCCCCACACCGCCTCCAACCAGTTCCACCACCCTCTAGCGAGGGTTTTCAATGAACTTTTTTTCTTCTTGGCTACAGAGACCCGGCTTTCTGGTTCATGTAATGCACTGTTTAACTGTGTAGGAATGTATATGTGTGTGTGTATATACGGTCCCAGTTTTAATTTACTTATTAAAAGGTCAGTATTATACGTCAAAAGTTACCGGCTTCTACTGTATTTAAAAAAAGCAAGCAAAAGAAAAAAAAAAGAACAGTGAAAAGAGAGACTTATTCTGGTTGTTGGTAATAATGTTAACCTGCTATTTATATCCCAGTGCCCTTCGCATGGCGAAGCAGGGGAGGGGGGAGTTATTTTTTCTTAAAAGTACAAAGAGAGGGGGAACTTTTGTAGAAGGACTTTTTAAAAAGCTATTTTCCATTCTTCGGAAAGTGTTTTGATTTTACTTAAACCTCGAAGAAGCTATAGAGTTCAATGTTATTTTACAGTTATTGTAAATATAGAGAACAAATGGAATGACTAATCATTGTAAATTAAGAGTATCTGCTATTTATTCTTTATAATATCCCGTGTAGTAAATAAGAAAGAAGTGCAGAACAGGATTAAAGAAAACCACTAAAACCGACTGGGCTCGACACTGTGATTCACTGTGTTGGTGATTGATGGGGGGCGGGGGGGGATGCCGCCGCGCTTACTATTCCTATTGGGAGACAAGCTCATCGTTCCGGACTCCCCTCCTGTGGGGTGATGAAGGTGACTGTAAAATTTTCAGGGGGGGGGGGGTGTTATTCTCAAACTCCATCTTTTAAGTATCCTGTGGCCTCCTCAGAGTCTCCCTGGGTACCCTCCCCCGTGACACCAAAGCTCAGGCCTGTCGTGACCTCGACACCCAGCCGGCCCCCTGGAGCTGACCCCGGGCTGGGCCGATGAGGGAGGGAGGGAGGGGGGCGGCTGCTTTGTCCAGGCTGACAGGCCCTTCACAATGGGGACACGTGTCTTTCACACCTTCCCTGGGGGCGGAGTGCGGCTGAAACTTGACCCCCGAGGAATGGGGGGGATCAGAGCGCGCCCACCCAGATCCCGCCACCCCTCCCTCCTTGCACCCCCACCACAATATCCAGCCCCTGTTAACCCTTTGCATGCCCGGAAACTGCGGTGGTTAGTGCTAAAGCGACCCTTGAATTCAGCTACATACAACCTCAGGGATCCTGCAGGTCTGGAGCCCCTACAACCCAGGCCCACAGCTGACGTGGGAGAGATAATTTGGATATTTGACACTCACCTGGGCCTTTTCCAGGACCTAAGGAAGACTGAGGTCCTGAATTTCAGAGGGGTGTGAATTTGGGTACAAATCACTATCTCTGGGACCTGCAGTCGGGGAGGGGAACACGACCCCTCCCTAGGCACTTAACTCCACTTTGGGGGTTGAGAAGAAAGGAGAAATCAGAATGGGATCTTTACGCTTTAGGATTAGAGACAAAGTTACCCCTTTGAGATTCGGGCAAATATCACTGCACCCCACCCCTTAAAATTCCAGCTTCTTGGGACTGACTCTAGACTCTCGCGTGCATCCCTCCGCCTCAATCCCCAGTGGCGCCCATCCACACAGCTCCACGTGGGCCGGCTTCCTGACACCGCTCCCCGCTCCTTTTTATTTATCTTGGGCTCCACAGCCTCTCTCCTTTGCTCCCCTCCCCACCCCCTTTGCCCCTCTCC